ACCTATGAATAATGAAGCTACTTCAGACCAACCCCTTTTAGATTTGCGCCAGGCACAAGAGGCATTTATCCCGCCGGGAAAACAGCAACAGCGCCGGGATCCGCCCACAAAGTTACTTGCGCTTTGCGCTTTGACACTTGCGTTTCAGATCGTTAAAATAGGGCCCATGATGTTCTCCCATCACCGCAGAACCTAAACCTCTGGGTAGGAGAGGATCCCTCTTGTCCTTTGTGTTCATCACCTGCCACATTAAGGCACATTTTGACAGGATGTAAGGTGGCTCTTAGCCAAGGTCGGTTTCTTGGCGCCATGACCAAGTACTGCTATGTTTGGCTTTAGCATTGTAAGGCAAGCGTAACATGACCAATAAGTTGCCACCTGTTCTAGCAAAACATTACACACAGAAGAAAATATTCCTCCGCCCAGGCGAGCAACCACCAAGAAAAGGTGTTAAAACCAATTCTCGCCCAAATCCTCGGTTGTCGAGGATTTGTGGCACACTCTACAACCCGGTTCCTCAGAGAAGTCGGATTCAGTGGTCAAGAGTTGCGTCGCACAGTAAAGAACTTATCTGAAGCAGCAGGGAGGAGCAGCAACTGGCTGTGGTTGAGACGGAAATATTCTGGCTGGCTGTGTACAAGTTCGGTTTCATAGAAATTCTTGAAAAACTCGAAGAGTCTGTTGGTTTATTTGCATAGTTTGCATAGTAATTACAGTTAATGCGTTCCTGTGTATATTGCGTGAATGAGGGTTGGTGTTTGGGCAGATATTGTGTTTTGCGGTAGGTAGTATGCAATGCGGAACCGTTGCCACTGAAACTACTTTAACGAAGACAGCGGGGCTCAACAGCCTTAGTCAAACTGCTTGGCGCGTATGGTTGGGTTGCGGAGAGATTGTGAGATTGTGGTTAGGTCACATGTGAACTACGAGGAAGGAGCAACCTCAGCAGCAGGAGGGATGTAAAGGTCAGTAAGCTGGGCTGAGTTGAGTGGGGGACGAAGGGGGGTGACTCTGGGACGCCAGAGTCACTGTCGAGCCCTCTTGAGGTGTCGTGGGCTAGTCAACGAAACACTGAGGACTGAAGGTGCCCACTTGAATACCCTAGAGATGTCCCCTACTCGGCTCAATCCAGACGGTTGTCGTGCTGGTCCACTGGGGAGACACTGTAGTTGCAGCCATTGTGTGTGCTGACGTGCCAAGTACACTGCAGCCGTTAACGCCGGACAGAAGGAGATTCACATCACCATATGGAAAGAAGCGTAAATGGATGGAGAAGCATAGGTTACTGTAAAGCTACGTCTTAGTTTGTGCTTATCTTGGCGAAAGCCGAGTACAAATCAGCATGAAGTTTTAACATCTACTCTCGTGTAATCTTGGATATTTTATTACACAAATCTTACATATTGTACCTTTAATGTGGTGTAGAACTAAACATAAGTAGCTCAGCTATGCCCCATCAAGACCCAAACATGAAAATCCTCTCTTCCAAGAATTATATGGTCCAACCAATATAATAATCTTTTGCATACAAATGAAGTATTGTACAACGGGCCTTTTACAGAAGTAAAACAGGAGGTGGTGTCAACGCCATACATCTGAGTTTAGGCAAACCCTTAAACACATAGCTACCTCATGTCTTTATCGACCCGGGACTTCATTACCCTCCCCTTTATTCATTTGTTAAAGTTAGACATCAGCCTTCTTACTATTCCTCAATATATTCATTATAGTCAATCTAACAAGAAAAATAAAAGAACGTCTATTTTCTAATTAAGTTTTTGTAAAAAGTGTAGGGCCGATATGTAAGAATGTATATTTTTTTCAAGGTGGCAATGTCTGATACACAATGATGATGTGATGTTTCACTCATGATTACCACTGGCATAAAACAAGAATTACCAGCAAATCTTGAAATGACTCGGCGACTTATGTATAAGTATGTATAATATGTTAAGTATTTTATCGCAATCAAATATTAGTGTCACTGATGGTGGATCTGGTGTAGAAGAAATTTAGATTTTGAAGATGTTGAAAACGATAGTTTTGAGAACATGGTTGAGATTGTGAATGAGTCAGATGCTGAATGTACTTGGGAAATGAGCTCTGATGAGGACAGTCTGCTCAAATTGAAGCCTTTGAAGATTGAAAAGGTAATGAAATATGCTTTATTTTATTATTTTGTAATTGTTATGAAAATATCAGCACAGTTTTATACGAGGCTATTGCAGTTAGAGATCATCCATTTTGGAAATAGATCCGGGTCACTAAAGACCTGAATATGTAATAATGAATGGCAGAACATTCAGGGTTATAGCCCTGTTGGCCTTTTTTTTTACTTTACGAGCAAAAAAGAACGTTTTTAACTTTGTCAATTCAAATACATTTGATAAATCAATTAAATTAAGTTTAGTTTACTAAAAGCAAAACTCTACTCTACTAAACCTTTACTAAAATACTCATGATATAATACTCAACTAATTTTGTCATGCCTTACTTATTAATAATATTGAGATTTCTTTTTATTCATTGTCATCTTTGACTTGAGATGACAGCCAGTTAATTCTGAAAAAAACCTTTTCCTAACTCACCCCTGGATCTCTCCAATGGTTGTTTTGAATGCAAATTGCAAAATCACAATAGGTCATGCATTGTTATTGTGATGTTTGCTGAACCATCATGACTTCAGGTGACATGTGTGTTAAAAACTGCAGTAACGTAATCAAGTTTTAATTATATTCATTCCTTTATTTATTTTTTAAATAGCAAACTGCTTCTAATGTTTCCCAATGGGATTGTTTATGCTCATGCAAAGCAGTTACTCAGGTTTACCTCTCCCGTCTATTTGATTTACTGAAGTCCTCTATCTTCTTTTCTCCACTTTAATCCGTCCCCCCAAAATATGTAAACAGGATTGGAAAGAACCAGCTCTGAAAGGATAATCAATAAATGCACAAAAACAGTAGTGAGAGTTAAGTATAGTGTATTTGTTTTCTCAACAAGAGTACTCTTATCTGGCATCCCGTAAATATGATCACAGTGAATTTGTAAGTGGGAGGTCTTAGCAAGGGCAGTGTAAGTTCAGCGGCCGTCACTTCAAGTGTAGTTCTGCAATGACCGCAGTTTCACATCTGCCCTTAAGACCTCAGACTGCCTGGTGAGCACAGTTGCCAAATATTTAACACAAAATAAATGGCTTTGAAGGCCACAATAATGAAACTGAATATACTATTTATCTGGTTTATACTAAACAAGATGGGTATGGACAGATAATCTTGAATAAATAAGGAAACAGAGGACAGTGAACGTTATAACAAACTTGTATTTATTTTATTTTTTTAAATAAAGGATCTCCATTTTGTTGCATCATGTACACTGTTGGTGATTTTTCTTGCATTGGTGTTTTAACTGTTGCACTTAATAGATATGCATATGAAAATTGCCCACTTAAGAAAAAGTTATCACAGCCTGTGCTACTGGACATACAGCACCTTTAAAACTGTTATAATGACACATGATTAGTTCTTATCTTAGTTGAACAATGATAAACAAAACTGGCCTGTAATTAGCTATTACAGATGCCTTGAGCGATTTATTGGTTCCTTCTGGTGTGATCTAGACCATTTTTAGACCTTATGATTACTTTATTACAGTTTAACCTTCATTGCCTCTCCCAGTTTGTCTACTAAACTGGTAGCAATCTTACACTGTGTAGGCAGACGTCTTGTGTTAAAATGAGCTGATCTCTATTTTATTTGAATAATGTTATTCTTGTGCTTAAGTATTGATTCTGAACCAATGGCATTGCTTGCTTTTGTATTATAAGCTAAAAGAAAGAAGGAGAAAGAATTATGTGCGATTAATGCTTATAAGATTCATGAAAAATGTATGGAGAAAATACAGTTTTTATCATTGTGGACAAAAAATAATAATCTTGTTTCTCTTTGAGATGTTATCAGATGCCATCATCTCCTGTTTCTTCTGATTAGCTGCTGATATGTTAAATAGCGCTTGGAGCCAAATGTTGTGGAGGAAGATATTCTGATTTCATGCGCTAGATTGGACAAATGGGTCTAATGATTTAAAAAGAAAGAGGATCTGGAAGAATCTGGGAATAATATTAAGGTTTATCAGATGACCTGATTACGACAAAGAATCTCTATTACAGGCCACTGCTAATAACGGTCGCTTCTTCCTTTCACGGTCGCAGAAATCTTTGGGTGCTTAGGAGAAAGGCTGGGAGGCTAACAGGCTGGACCAATGCATGTGAGAACAGCAGGTGGTATTGTTATAGGATAATCAGCTCCTGCCTCTAATTAAAAGGCTCACGTTTCACAGACAAAATCAGCTCAAAGTGGACTTCGAAACATTTTCAAGCAGAGGGGGAAAAATATATGGTTCTGGATAAGCCTTTTCACATGTCTGAAACTATTAAGCTCACAGACCTACGTTTGTGGAAAAAGTGGAAATGTACTATATAATGCACAAAATATATGGGTCTAATTATATTTTAGATAACAAAGTCTCATTGTGGAGTTGGTTGTTTTCTGTTTTCTTTTCCACATGTGAATTTACAGTCACACAGTTGGAATGAATTAATTACAGTGCAGATTTTTTGTATCTGAGTAGGCTGATTACAATGCTGATTGCAAGCAAGTATAAAAAGTAAATTTATTGTCAATATATATATATATATGTATATCAATAATGCTATAAAACACAGTATTTTAATATAGTAATCAGGATTCCTACTATTTGATAGCTAATTAAATTCATTTTATTAATGAAAGGTATTATGAAGTGTTACCAATAATCTTACTGTTTATTTCCAAAAAAAAAAAAAAAAAAAAAAAAACACAACATTAAGTATTTATGTATTGATACAGTGTTGAAGTGGTTTATTGTGGGAATGTAACTTCCAGCCAATCAGAATGTTGGGAACCTCCTCAGTCCAAAAGCACATGCCATATATAAATTCTCAGTCGACTGTGAGGTCTTCACTGTCAGAAAACAACAAAAATGCTAGACTCGCTGACATTTCTATTTGAGAAATTCTTTCTTTTCTCACATTTTAATCTTTTTAAAAGTATATGGCAGGGGACGGAGAAGTGTCCGGTGAGATGCCCAATGCTCAGGAGAGGAGATCTATTGGAGGTGCAGCGCACTCTCTTCGTTCATTACGGCATCTATCTGGGCGAGAACAGAGTGGCGCACCTGATGCCTGACATCATGCCCATATTAACTAACGACAAACAGCTCATTAAACCAGTTGTCACCAATAAAAGACTCATTTTAGGCTGCATTTACAGACACGCGAGTATACGCGTCGATTCGGTTGAAGATTTCGCTTATGGAGCTCAGATTCTTGTGAATGATATGGATATGAAAATGAAGTGTCAAGCACTGGCGAGCGAAGACGTCGCGAGAAGAGCAGAGAAACTGGTCGGCGACATTCCGTACAGTTTGTTATGGAATAATTGTGAACATTTCGTGACGTATTGCAGGTACGGGACACCTGTGAGCCAGCAGACAGAGACGGTGAGTTATCTTTAATACAAAACTTGTAAAATATAGCCTAGAACACACCTTAGTCTGTTAATAAATAAAATAGCAGAATTAATATTAATATTAATAAGTAGGCTATTATGTAATTAATGCCATGTTATCAAAATGTCAATATTGGATCATAAATTATAAAATATTGATAAAATGATGATGTTGATGATGATGATGATTTTTAGTGCCTATAAAAACCTGGAATTTTGAAAAAATAATCAGTAAATTGGATTTGGACAAAGTCTGTTAATTATATATGTAATGTATTTTCTTGTGCAGTTCTGTGACTGTCTGAAAACCATCATTCGGGACCAGAGAAGTGTGGCCTTAACCGTTGGGATGGGAGTGATGTACATCCTTTGCTTTGGCATGGCACCTTCAACTACATTACCCACAATCCTTATTCCCTTCATTCTGTGGATGGCTGGCTGAGAGACAATTTCAATACATCAACAAAACAGTCCAGTCTTAAAGGGGACAAAACACAACAATGCAATGCATCCTGCAGAAGTGGAATATGTGTGTGTAAAGTCTGATTATGTAAGCAATGTTTCAGCATATAGTTTGCATTTTGCCTCTATATAACCTACGTTAAATTGTAAGCTTTATCATTAAATTCATGAAAACATGCCATTAGCTCTAGCTTGCTGCATATTTTTCTCAGTTCAATTCATTGTTAAAAGCGCTATATAAATGAAGATGACTTGACTTGACTTGACTTTCATTTTAAATCATAAACTTAAAATTGGTAAAGCCAATATTGTTGTAGCTTAAAGTTACAGATTTCATGTTTAATGCTCACTAAAGGTGCCTTTAAAACATACATGATAGTTTTTTATCATTATTTTTATGCTTGATTGTGAATTTGTACAGTTTAAATATATATATTTAATACCTTAAGTTCCTAAACAAGAACCAGAAGAAGAACATTATAGACATGATGAATGTTAGATGTGTAAATAGTACAAGTATTTCTGGTTTGCTGTAAACAGTTGATTTGATTTATTTCATCAAAATAAAGCCCAAATGTTTTAATTCCAAGCATTCTCAATGTTTGACCTGTGGTTGGACCTGTGGAATTTGCATGGGTTCTGTAATCTGAGCCGTGCACCCGATTTACCATCATTGAGTGTTTTTAGGCCAGGTCAATGTTCTGTGTTAAATTTTTTTTTTTAATTTTTAATTTTATTTTATGAAATAAAGTAGATTTCTAACTTTTATTGCAAAATTCTTCTTGACATTAAATCATACATAATAAAAAAGGAGAAACATTTTAATTATTGAATTATGTCACTTTAGGATGAATGTGGGTAGGATTTAATTGTCAATGTTCACAAAAAGTGTTAGAATTGTATTTAGAAAGTAGTAGTGTTTGGGTCTAAAGCAGTGGTTCTCAACACTGTTGTTAAAGACAATATTAAGAGGCCCCCTCATGTGAGTGCCCTCTACATATTTTCTCTGGTACTCCTGCTTTAATGATGAATAAGCTTCTTGTTCTCAAATATATTATTACCAGAAACAAGAAGTGGCTGTAGATTTAAAAACATAATTTACTGTGATGTTTTTTGTTTTAGATACATTTCAAGAACTGTATGTTTTTAAAATCAGTTGTTGAAAAAAAAAAAAAAGTAAAAAAAAAAAAAAAATGAATAAAAATAAAAATATTAATAATATGCCCTCAAAAATAAGAAGTTATACATTTAACATGTTGTTTTCATAGTTTTTATTTTCTTTTACAGTAAAGATGATTTAGATAGGCCTACATTTTATATCTGCAAATATCTCACCTTGTTTACAAAGGATTTTTACACCAACAACACCCACCATTGTCTGCTTTGGGCAGATTAATGACAAGAAACCAGTCTAGTACATGATACAGTACTGGAAGAGTAAAAATGCTCAATTTAGCTTTTGATGCAACCAACCACAGTTTGAGTCTGCCTTTTCCTGATCTCATTCTTCTCCCTATTCCCATTGCAAATTGATGCATGAAACTCAATTTGTTACCACGCTAAAAACCGTGACTCCCTTCCTGCACCTTCTAGGACACCTTTACTGCAGGCTGGTAAGGACAATAGGTCCCATTAAGGTAGCATCCATTTATAATTTTGTCAAATATGACCATACATATATGAAAGAGTAGCTAGTGGAGTTAAAGATCGGTGGAGCCGGTGGGACAGAGGATAATGGCAGACCCAAAGGGATGGAGGTTCCAAGGTGCAGCTGAAGGACCGTAAGTCCATTGTGGAACCTGGGAATCGACAGACCATGGCGAGGACAGAAGGACGAGGGACCCCGGTAGGGACAGCAGGATGGAGAACCACAGTGGACCGGATGGGTCGGAGAGCTGTGGTGGAGTCGAGGGATCGGAGGACCCAGGAGGAGCCTAAGAGCCGAGATGGTCCAACAGGGCGGATGGAACCAACAAACTCAGATTGGGACAAAGGGCTATGTATACAAAATGGAAAATGAGGAACCAAACCTGGTGGAACTAAATCAGTAAAAATGGAAACTAAAAAGGACATTCTAAAAACCAAGGAAACAAGAACTAAACACAAAGAACCAAAACTACACAGTCAATACATGCCAATACAGTGAATATGTTGCTCTTATTACTCTTTTATAATATATACACAGAGGTGCAAACAGTATCTGCCACTAAATAACAAGTAACTCTTTTTACACTTTGTGCAAATTTAATCTAACTGGCTCATGGAGAAAGGATGAGGTGTGAGGGAAAGCAGGATCCTAGGACTGGCTGCAGGGGGCAGTATACGGGAGACGTCCCTGCCGCTGCTCCACCACCGGGATTAAAGGAGCTGGCAACTCTGCAGCCAGCCCAAATGTTGGATGTGCGTCAGGAAGAAATGCCCTGCAGGTATTCATACCCGTGCTTACAATTTTTTACAAGTACAAATGTGCAAAGAAATGTTTTTTGTTTGTTTGTTTTTTACACACTAACTGCAAATAGCATCAAATATCCCCTTGGAAGTTTGCTGAGGCCCCCTCAAAGTCAGAGTACAATCAAAGTTTCACTACTACCAATGAATACACTTACTAATCTCTAACTCTCTATTATGAACAAAATATGTTGAGTGAATGATAGCACAGTTATGGTATAGATAATAATCATAATAATAATGCCTCATATACCTCATAAATACTATAAGCATTTCTTATTAAAATATTTGTTTGGTTTTGAGTTGTCATATCAGTACTTTTAATATTGAAGTTCTCAACTGCAAGGTCTTACATAACAGAAGTGCAAAGCCACACTTCCTGTGAAAGACTCTCATTAGTAATGTGCATCCAGGCAGGCCTATCCCTGACCAGACTTATGTGTATATAAATGACAAACTGTCATGATACATTTGAATTTAATTCTTGGTAGCATCCTCTTGGTCAGGGTGCATACATTCTTCTAAAATTGTTCTGTTCAACCTATTTCATCAAGTAAGCATTATACAACCAACACTGCATTAATCTCGCTATTGACCCGGGACTTTTACCTCCTGGCAATTAAGACTGACTTATTCAGCAGGCCTATTAATATCTATTCAGACACAATGGGGCTTATATAAAACTTGTGAAATCACCTTGTCGTAGTCAACATGTGATGCCCAAAAGCTGCTTAATTAAACAAACCACATCACTCCTCCCAGAGCAGATCAAATAAATTGAGTAGATGTGAAGTGAACAGCATCACTGTCCACTGCCTTCCACCATGATCGCTCTCAGATTGTTTAATTTGTTCTTCATCACCTCAACACTGGAGGACGAGTGTGAAGAAGACAGAGGGATGAAAACTTACGACATTTCCCTTTACAAGCGCGGTGACCTTTTGGTGGTGTCAAGGACTCTTTTTAAACATTTTGGAATCTACTTAGGTGAAGGTTGCGTCGCTCATTTTATCCCAGACATCCTACCAGTATTCACTAAAGAAAAGTCCATTGTTGAGCAGATGGTGACCAACAAAAGACTGATTTTTGGAGTTTTGGCCAAGGCAGCCAGTGTTCGTGTAGACCCTTTGGCTGATTTTGCATATGGTGCACAGATTCAGGTCAATAGTACAGATAGTATGGTCAGTGTACAGCCACTGAATGGAGAGGAAGTGGCACAGCGGGCAGAGAAGCTGATTGGATCTTTCTCCTACAGCTTACTGTGGCACAACTGCGAACACTATGTCATGTATTGCCGCTATGGTGTTGCATTTAGCTTCCAAACCTTCCAGGTAAGAAAAAAATAAAAATAAAAACAGGGTGGAGGGTGATATATGTGGAATATAGATACAAAAGTTTGGGGTTAGTAATATTTTTAATAAGTCTCTTATGCTCACCAAGGCTGCAATTATTTGATCAAAAATACTGTAATATTGTGAAATATTATTACAATTTAAAATAGCCGTTTTCTATTTGAATATATTTTACATGTAATTTATTCCTGTGAGGATAAAGCTGAATTTTCAGTGGCGATTAATTTAGTCTTAGTGCCACATGATACTTCAGAAATCATTCTAGTATGCTAATTTGGTGCTCAAAAAAACATTTATTTCACTTTAAGCGCCCCGCTGCATTTATTTACTTGTCCTTTATTGTTTTCAAATTCCAAGCGTATCACAATATCCTCCTACGCAAGTAAGCTACTGATTATTTCTAATTTGAATATGTCAGTGAACTCTTATCCTCATGGTTTAGTCCCCATAAATAGAGTGGAGTAAAGACTTGTGCACATCTTGCATGTTGTAGTAACCTTAACCACATGTGCTATGAAAAGCTGCTGAATGCAACAAACAAACATGATAACTGTCAGAGCACAAAAGCCAAGTTTGAGCTATAACAACAGTAATGAGTCTTGTATTTGGAGCCAAACAGCTCAGACTATATGATTATGATATGTATGAAAATTAGATTCAATTAGTTACTTCATTAGGTAACACATGGACTACAGTATTGACACAATGACAATAGTATTTAAAAATCTTCAGGTTAATGTTTATTTTTTCACATTTGAAGTTGTATAAATGAATATTAGATTAAAGTCTATAACTAGATTAAAATTTTAAAATAACTGTTATTTATAGACTAAATTCTATAGGCCTAAGTAACATAAAATTAAAATTAAGTTTTGTTCATTGCTAGTTAATGATACTTCATGCATTGAACAATGTTAACGAATTTAATCTTTTTGAAAAGTGTTACCAAAAAATATTTTTTACACATTCACATTCAATAAAATAATATAAAAGGAGCATGGTTCTTTTCCTATTAAATTTAATGAGCTTTTTTCATTTGCTTTTACATTTGCAATAGATTTTAAAATAATAAAAACCTGAATTCCAGTATACCCCTTTATATCTGAAAAAATTCTGAAAAGGAGACAATGAAAAAGCCATTTTATTTTGCATTTTGAATAGCATCAAACAACAGAACCAGCGCCATCTAGTGGACAGTTGTAGTGCATTACCTTACAGTGAAAGAAGGGATCATCAGTTTGTAAAACCTGCAGCAAA